CCAGGGTTTACAGTCTCTTAGGGTTTGCTATTTTTTTTTATGAAAAATTATACATTTTGATCTCTACACATTACTTTTATTTTATTATAGGTCTCTGTACTTCTTGTTCAGTATTCTAAGCCTTACATTTTCATTTTTCAATATTATAGATCTCTAAATGAACATAACGAATAAAGTATGGGGATTTTGGATGGATATAAAACATCACAAAATGAAAGTATAGGGACTTAAAATATCAAAAAAAATGCAATAACTTATAACAAAATACGAACAAAGTGCAGAGATTAAAAGTTATGTTTTTTTTTTAATTATCAGTGTCTTTGTTCTAATACTTATAAAAAATTATATATATAACTGCAGGTGGAAAAAAATTAAGAATGTATAGAATTACAACAAATGATTCTCGTGTCAACGTGCACTAAGATATATACTAAAATAAAACTCGGAAAAAATAGAAAGATTTTAAGAGTTAAATTAAAACTTCAAGGACACCAAGGCAACTTTGTATCGCTCACAATCACTTGGGGCAGTTATTAAGCCCGGAGATTCTGAAGCAAAGTGAGTCCGGACCACTAATTTTTGGGTCCCCCGCCCGTGGAGGTTCTTTTATGCTTAAAAAATATATATCCCATTCTATTTTTATTATAAAATATATCTAACTATTTTATCAGAATTAAAAAGACATAGTTGAGTATAGAATAAATTTCTAATCTTGTCTTTATTTAAATAAAAAAATTTTAAATTTACATTATATTCTCTTTCATAATTTATAAGTTTAAATATGAGTAACGTTGAAAAACTATAATTAATACCCTATCAAATATATTATATTTAATATACAAAACTTTTCAGAAGGTGCCTGACCAAAAAAACCGTAACTAATGAGATGAGACCCAGTAGGAAAGATTAGTTTTTTTATAACATGTTGAACTAATGCTTGACTTTTCACTAGAAAAAGTATTTACATTAGTACTTGACCATACTTAAAACATGTTTCTTTCGAATAGAAAAATACATATGTCTAATAAATAAAACAATTTAAATGGGATATCTTACAAAGATGCACGTTTAAATTCTGTTATTGATGTAAGGGAAAATATAATTTTTAATTCCTATAATTTCATCAGATTTTGCTTTTAGTTTTTGTATTTTTTTTAGTATTTTCAGTTCTTATAAAGACTAAAAATATTAAAAAATAAAATTTGTAGAGATTTAAAAAATAAAAGTCACCTAATCTTTTTAAAATTATAAAGACTGAAAATGCTAAAAAAAATTACAAGGACTAAAAACAAAACCCTATGAAATTATAAGAACCAATGATTATATTTTTCCTTATATATAAGAATTTTTGTTAGTATTGTTACTTTGCCTTGGTGAATTATCTAAGACAACTCACATAAACTTTTTAATGATAGAAAAATGACAAAATTTGTACTTAAGTCATGTGAGGGTGCTTATTATATAAAGATCATCACTCTTATGTGTCCCAAAAACATATAATGTAAATATTAAAAAATATTATAAAATCATAAAATTAATGTAAAATTTCATACCATTTACTGCAATGATCAATTATTACTAGATAATTGTTACTTATTGTTATTTAGTTGTGAATTGAATGACTCCACTAACAATTATTTAACAGCAATTGACAATTTCAGTGAAGGATATAAGACTTTAAAATAATTTTATAAATTATATTATTCTTCTGCATTTAGATTGCTTGTGTCCGAAGATGAATTTTTTTATTATATATGATTTTTTTAATAAATATAAGAAGTAGACTTTATATACAGTAAATATTATTTTCAAAGCACCTAAAAATGTAAAAGTGATAGCAAAACACCACAGCCACATATAAACCTTCTCTTTACCCCCTCTCCACTTTCACGTGGCAATTTTAGTGCATGTTTGAAATTATTTTTATTCTATTATTTTTGAGTTCATATTTTTTAAAATAATTTTGAGAATAAAAAATAATAAAAATAAGTATTTTTTTTGTTATTCTTCAGAACAATAACCTCAGAACAGTTAAAAGATGTTTTTATTTTTTTATTCTCCAAAATAATATTTTTTTTAAAAATATTTTTTAAAAATACATTATTAAATAAATTTTTTATTTTTTTATTTTAAAAAACATAAAATTATTTTTAAAATAGATTGTCAAACATGCCTTTAATAACTCTACTCTCTTTTACTTTTGCTTTCTTCAGCCACAACATACAAGCAACGTAGGTTTTTCCCCCCGCCTTCATAATGTGTTAGTTAGGCACGTCACATGCCTAATCTATTATATAGTCTCCTTATTTCATACTTCCATCGAATATAAAACATTTTTTAAAAATTTTGTCTAATTCAAAATATAATGTATTAAATAATTTTTATATTTATTTTTTTAACTATATCCTTATTTCATTTATTACTCCTTTTTTAAAAAAATCTTATATTAAAATTTTAATTACTATTAGTTTATATAGAGTATTTAATAAGAGTATACATGAAAAGATGTGACATTTTTAAGAATTTAAGTTTCAACTAATATTATTCGCAAATCATGAATTAGTTAACTATGACTTATATTATGATTCAAAGAGAGTAGTAACTATTGCTATCGCTACTGCTACTACCACTACTATTGTTGTTGCTGCTCTTACTCTTGCTGCTGAAACTATTGTTGCTACTACTGTTATGGCCACCGTTGCTGCCGCCAGCAGCAGGAGCAGCTAGGCGTGTTTAACTTGTAAATTTAACCTTAGGTAGTTTTAAATTTGGTGGATTTGAATTTTAGATTTAAAATCTTACATTTCAAATATTATATTTAAAATTTATGCATTTAAAATTGTTTATTTGAATAGTTTAAAAAAATTTTAATGAAGAAGAGAAATAAATTGAGATTTGAAATGAAAACAAAAAATTAAAAGTGACAAGCTTACCTCTATTTTTTAATGGATAAAAAATGGGATGAGAAATGAAAAAAGATATAAGAGTTAGAGATGTATTGATAGTAAAATCACAAGAGAACATGATATTTGAAATAATTAAAATTTTAAATAATTAAAGTATAGAGAAAATTTAAAATTACAAAAGAATTATAATAAAAAATGAATTTCAAATCTAAATATATAAATTTTTGCGTATTCAAATAAAAATGTGGTCTAAATCTAAATTAAAATTCTCATTTATCTGGACACACCATTAAAAAATTTTAACATCGGAGGTTTCTCCCTCTAATTTTTAACATTGGAAGCTGTTGATGCCACATTTTAAATAATGTTGACCCCCTATATTTCAATTTTCTATCCAATTGTGCAAACGTCATAGGGATATAGATTGTCTCCTTTTAAGTTTCTGAGTCGTTATTCCAAGAAAACTTTGTCACTCTCACCTTTCAACAGATTCTCAATAAAACTCACTAGCTACAAGTTTACTCTATTAATTCTCTCTTTTCAGAGTCAAAAAAAGAAAAAAAAAATTAACGGTTACAGAAGTCACATAGTCACGCTTCCAGGAGAACAACAAAAAACAAAATAATTTAATGGTGAATAAGATTTGCTTCTCATATTTACATTAACCCTCTGTTTTCACTTCTCTTTTCTTTAATGCATTATTTTCTTTTTGATCACGCACTATAGTCTTCACATTAGAGGTAATTATGTTTAAATCACAGTTGGATATCAAACGCGAGCATCTCTTACAAATGCAAATTTGAACTTGATTTACCATGTTGAGAGAAACTAATTATTCCTTATGCTAGATCCAACTCCATTAATTATTTTTGAATTTAGAGTATTGTATGCATTTGTAATGGAAATGTTTCAAATTTGTGTATATGCCATTTAATGACTGAGATAAGAAGAAGAAATTGCCGGTCAGTAATCCCAGAAAATTCGGGCCTCTCAATATCACTTGCCGTCACTGAGTAATGCCGTATTCTAGCAGATAGATACCTGCAAATAGAAATATAAGGACCTTCTCGCTTTTACTCACTAACCTTTTTGTTTGGTCTTTATGCACTCCTTTCAGCAACGTTAGGTACTTGTAGCTTTCAAGACATGGCCATCTACCATACATCTCCATGTATATAAATCTGACACAACTTTCCAGTCAACAACATGCAAGTGTTCAAACCTTTAAGATAGTCCTACTTACAAGTCTCTCTTTTCCATCCTTCCCTTCCTCTTCCATATCTCTGGTTTCTTTCCTCCTTGTATGGCCTCGGAAAATGAGAATACTCATGTGGGGTTAGTGGAATTGGTCCAATTGGAGGAGTTGGAGGTCATGGAAATCGATGAAGCTCTTCTAAGAGAAGTGCTAGAAGAACACGAGGAAGCTGATGCAGAAGTTGAATTTTTGATAGAAGCTGTAGAGAATGGTGACAGAGTGATGGACGAAAAGGAAGAATTTCAGAAGCAGGAAGACAGTTACTCAGAGCAACATGAAGGCTGTAAGTGGTGGGTGAATAGTATGATGGAGATGGAACCAGCTTCACTAAATGAAGTGATACTGAATTGGTATCCAGATGATACAGCTGGGATGATGACAGATTTTGGGTTTGCTAACGGAGAACATTGCTCTCAAATATTTGAAGGCCTTGTGTCCTATGAGGCATATTATGGCTACTTTTGGGAAGATCTGTAGTCTCACCTACAAGTTGACTAGCTAATAGGTTTTAAAATAGTAGTATGGAATTGGCTTGTGTGAATGAATTGAGCTTATATCTATAATTCAGCATATAAAAAGCATAACTACGGGCTTCCAGGACTTTGTGTGCTCCTATATTGGACCAAGTCTGAAAGTAGAACATGTTAAGAAAATAGAGTTATGATAAGAAGACTCAACTTCAGAGATTTTTACTACCATCCACGATTTCTCAATTTTCTTGCAGCCTACTTTGTCTTGTATTTTTGTCTAGTTCATCCAAATTAATGATAGCAGAAATGAATCAATTGATTAACCAATAAATCATCATACTCTTCAAGAGGACAAGTTATTCAGGAAAATTGGAAATAAAACTAAGCTTATATTGATAACGACGGGTGCAAAACTCTGCCTCCTATATCAACTCATATACCATAAAATCCTCAAGTTGTACATATAAGTAGGACAATTGCGTAAATAAAATTTCTAGGGGAAAAGGCGCAAGATCAAATAAGAATAATCAAACACTTAACATTCATGCTATAAGTAGATGAAGTATATTCATCTTCCATTTGGCTCAGCAAGCCTGGGTCTACAACCTATCAGCTCCAGAAGCTTACTAAGCCTCAAGTTTTCTGCAGCCAATTTCTGCTCCTTGGTTTCTGCATCTCTTCTCAGTTCAGATAGTTGTTCGAGGTATTCAGCTTCCATTTTATTCATCTTACATTAGGCTGAGCAAGCCTGGGTCTGCAACCTATCTGATCCAGAAGCTTACTAAGCCTTGAGTGTTTAGCAGCTAATTGCCCAGTCAATTTCTGCTCCTTGGTTTCTGCATCTCTTCTCAGTTCAGATAGTTGCTCCCAGTATTCGGCTTCCATTCTATCCAAAGCAGCCATCTGTTCTTCCCAAAGAGCTTTAATCTTCACTTCAAACTCTTCCATCTTCTCTCGCATACGACATGCCTTCTCTGACTCCAGCTGCAGCTCCACCCGCCTTAACCTCCACACTGCTTCCTTCCTATGTGATGACCATGTCTGGTGACCTTCTTCCAGCTCTTTACAGTATTCAACAAGCTCAGATACAAGCATGTTATCACCAAAACCTGAAATAGTTCCATGAGGTGTTGCATTCCGAATAACAGGAGGAGCATTCTCTGGCATTCTCTCGGGTTGTAACCATTGAAATGGAGATGAAGCAGCAACAGTGGAGGGAGAGAGACTTAGCGTCACAGAAGGGGAGGGTGGCCTAATAGCTGAATTGCCGCTAGAGTTAGAAAGCCATGAAGGAAGCATAGCTGAAGGAGGAGCTGGTGCATCAGTGAGAATAAATGCCCCATTGGAGGCAGCCATGAGGTAGGATGGGGAAGGGCGTTCTTTCACAAGCTTCTCAGCAAAGGTCTCAAGGATGTGATCGTATTTGGTGTCGTCAATTGGATCAACTGTTTTGTTGATGTCTTTTTTCTCTCTCTGCTGCTTCTCTTTAAATACTTCCCACCACTTACCTAACCTCTTGGCAGTGCGACCAGGGACTTCTGCAGCAATTTTCTTCCATTTGTTGCCATAAATCTGTTGAAGGTGGATGACAAGAGATTTCTCTTCTTCGGTAAGAGACCCCTTCTTGATGCCAGGCTTGAGGTAGTTCTTCCACCTTTCTAAGCAGGATTTGGCATCCCTATTAAGGGGTTTGTTCATTCGTTGGGACACAAGATTCCATTCCCTAGGGCCATACTCTTTGACGTAAGCACGCAATAAAGCATCCTCTTCAGCTGTCCAACGTTGCCTCTCCTTCATTTCCAAGTGCAAATCCCACTGCCCATTTCTTCAAACCCGAGCCCCTCATCATGAGTCTACAAAATTTGTGATAAATTCAAGACATCAATTTTCCAGGAACTACATTAACTACATGAAGAAGCAAAACTAAGTTGTGAACAAATGTTTTTCTCCCTGAACTGTCCTAAATTAGCCCAATCAAAAGGCCGCCCCTTTAAAAGCCAATACATTGTCAGGTATAAAAATTCAAAAAATAAGGAATTAGCAAGATTAATTTCCCAGAACTAATATCCAATGACAAACTCAATGTGAACAAAATCAGGTAGTTAATGATACATAGATTAGCAGAATTCGATATACTGAATCTACAAAGATACAAGGATAAAGTTGGTATCGCAATACATCACCCAGTGTTAACCTATAAAGTACAGAACAGAGTGCTAAATATGTTAGAAAGTTATTGCTTGAACATTCTAGGAGGCCTGTGCGTTGATAATCACATATAGCACCTGACAGATACAAATCATGAATGCAAAAATAGGCAGGAGGGGAATACAATCACACTCAGGGAGTCAATAGCTCAAGACAATTCAATTCTGCAGCCTCAAGTGCCAGCTATTATTTAAAATCCAGAACTTGATAGGACAACATGCTTCAAGAGTAATTTCATTAAAAAGGAAAAAAAATGTTTGGATCCTGTGTATTTCTTAAAAAAAAAAAGACATTCTTATTCCAGAGAAAGAACACAGACAATGTGAGGAACTTAAAAACATAACGCATTATATATCTGTCTATTTCAGAAGCTAACAGTCAATGTCTTTCAGAAAATTGCGTAGAACCTCTGTAAATTTTCAGTCATCTGCACATTTAAAATTTGATAATGAATCTCCTAAACTTTTAAATTGGCAGATGACGGCTTCAAGCAGCAAAATTTTTAAATGCCATAAAAGTGAATTTTCTGACTTCATAAAAAAAAAAAAAAAACAGATGATGGATTACCTTTACTCTTCCTTCATAGGTAACAATTTTACATAACTTCAACAACAAAATAACGCATCAAACAAAACTCAAGTGTTCTGTATAAATAACAGGACTCCTGGCATATCGAAGGCACTAGCAAGCATGGAGTCACGACAACCACAAGAAATCCACAATAACTAGAAAATACACCAAAACAGAAGCACTAGAAAAGACAGAGAGTACTTAAATAGACCTTAGGGAGAGAAATTAGTAAGACTAGGCTAGATTAGACGAAAGACGATGGGAGACGGAGATCTGACTGCGAGCGAAAAACAAGGGCAGGCGAATTGAAACGCAAAATAAAAGAATAAAAAGATGCGAATTGCGAAGCAGATAATGAGCAGTGTTTGCTTACGTTGTTGGGGGAATTTGCTAGCGTATGCTTCACTCGCATTGCACATAGTCTCACACTTTCACTTTCCTCTCCCTTCTCCTCCTCCTACTTCCAGTTGCTTTCGGAATAACTATGCAATTATACAATGCACTCGCCCAGTAAAATGCGAAAATTGGGGCCCCGAAATGAAAGGCTTTATCGTGAAAATTGCGAAGAGCGTCAGGGATAAGGGTGAGAGAAGAGAAGAAGGACAGGGAACGCAGAGTGAGAATGCGAGAGGGTCGGTATCAGTATGGCAGTAGCAGAGAAATGTACATAGTTTCAGCGCCACAAATGCAACGTTCTTCTCCGACGCGCTCGTTTTTACATTTTTTCAGTTTTTTTTAGGAAAAATAGGAATCAATGAATACTGACTAAAATTTTTTATACTTGTGAAGGATCAATTATTATTAAAATTTAAATAAATACTTATTATATGGTTAATCTTTTATTAATAAATATTTATTTAAATTTTAATAATAATTTATTTTAAATTATCAACCATCTATTCAGACTTAATTTTTTATCTAAATTTTGATAATAATTGATTCATGATTGATATAAACTTTGGTCAATGATCTTTGATTGATTTTTTTTTCTTTTTTAAATACTTTTTGGTGAATTAAAAGTTAAGTTTCAAAAAAACTTAAAAGACATGATTTTATTGTTAGAAAAGAATAAAATAAAATGAATTAAAAAAAAATGATTAAAATGTAAAAAATGATAAGTAAAATATATTCACAAAGAAAAAAATTAATTTTAATTTATGGGTTGGGATCATAATTCTTGAGATTTTAGAGAGTGTGATTATTTTTATAATTGTGATATGTTATTGTGAGTTTTATTATATTTGTCATAAAGGTGAAGGTGATTTAATTTATTTTTATTCTAATTTTTTTAGTATATTTTATTTTCATCATTTCAAACAATCAAACAAGATGAAAGAATATTGACCTAGCTTAATTAAAGATTTTAAATTTGATTTCTGTGTATGCAATTATGCATATGTTATTGGTGGGAGACCTATTTCTCAAAAAGTGTCTACAAACTATTAACCGGATTAATCTGCTAAAAGATTTGGGATATACTGAGCTAAAACAAAAAAAAAAAACTCTAAAATATTTTCCAACAAAAAAAAAGCTCTGAAATATGCTTACCTTGTCACTAGCTTTTAAATTTATTACTATAACTTTTAATTTTCTTTCAAATGATAAATTTATATGAGAAAACATTAATTTAAAACTAATCTAATTATATAGTTAAGTTTTCTTCCTACAAATATATGTACAAAATATTCTTTAATAAAATTATCATGCTGAAGGAAGAATGACAAATAAGGACCTCGTAAAAATATTATTATTAAATTAAGATTTTTTAACACTGATATTTTTTAATTTTAGTATTTCTTCTACTTTATTTTAGCACTAAAATTTTTAATTTGATATTATACAAAGTCTTTTCTCATCATTCTCCCAAATTTATAATCATATACCGAGTACTTTGCCTTTGTTTTGGTAAATGAACCGTGCAACCTCAATATATCACTATATAATTCTATCATATAAAGTATAAATTTAAATTAATTTCACTTATAGTCACAAATAATGAATTTGGGGATTAAAAATGCCATATATGTTAAATAAAAAAAATATCAAATGAACAGAAAGTTTAAGAAAAATGAGACAGTATTTGAATCATGCTATTTAATTTTTGCTTAAACTAATACATATTTATAGTTTTGGTGTAATAACAACTGATAAAGATACCATAACATAAATAAAAAATGATTTATCTAGTTTTATAATATAAAAATTACTTTACCTATCGAAAATTATCGAGAATAGGCATTAACATAAATTTTTTCTATTATTTATGAAATTTTACTTACTTCTTTATTAATAAATAACATAAGAATAAAACGCCATATCATCTTCTAACATTTTGTTCCACCAAAGCGTGTTCGTTTTGAAATTCAGAAGGTACCAGTACCGTATACTTTGTTTTGAGCATTTGTATTTTGTAAGGTTATGATTGAGTGCACGTCCTCTTTGTTGCTTATCACGAGGCCGTCTTGTTCAGAAAACCATGGTGAAATATGAACCGTAAAAAAACCATTTTTCCCCTGTTCAAGGACTTCACTTATCCTATTAAAAAGTGACACCTGGCCGCGGGAGGAACACTCACCGTACGGTTCTAACGCCGTCCAGATTCCCCGTTGAACCATATGATACTGTACAGAAAGGAAAAATTATTGTTTAATTTTCAATTTATTAAAAATTAATTTAGTCCTTTTAATAAAATTCAATTTGATGAGAGTCAATTATTATAATAAAATTTATATTTAAATATATTTTTTTAAAAGTCAGTTTAATCAATTAAAACTGTCTGAATTAATAAAAATTTATGTTTTTAAAATATACTTTTTTAATGTGCAATGATTAAAAAAGACATTAATTTATGATAATTTATAATTTTTATTATATAAATATAATATATTAAAAATATTTTAAAAATGCAAAACAAATTTAAAATAATATAAAATTTAAAATGTTAAATAATAAGAATAAAAATATAAATTTTAATATTAAAAAATTATGTAATAAATAATTATTTATTATTTACATGCTATACGGTTATTTTGATATTTGATCTTTAATATAAGTTATTCTTATTTTAAAAAATTGTTTACATATAATTTTAAAATATCTTTTTAAATATTTTAAAAAGAAGTGTAACGTTTTCATTGTAGAAAATTCTTCTCATTATCAATTACTTTTTATTTAAATTTAAAAATAAAAATAAAAATTAGTTTAATTTTAAATTAATTTTTATACATTAACTAACACACCTTAATTTTAATAAATTAATTAAAAATAACTTGTATACAAAGTTGAGCGAAATATATGACAAGGTAAAATTTGACTGATGGTTTCATAAGCCATCAGTTTTATATGAGTAAGTTTAGCTTGCGAGCCATGTGCATGAGCTAGATTTTGTTGGATACAGTTAAAATTTCACATGATAGGGATGGTTTTGTAGCCTATCAATCTCATGCAGAGGGAGTGAATTTACATTTGAAAAGCTACACCAGCGAGCTTTTCATTTTCTCTGTTTGAGACTCATTTGAAATTTCTTCTCCAAAGCATATCTCATCTAAAAAATATATCTCAAACAACATTTCACATTTAAAAAGTTAAAAATTATTTTTAGGATGTGAAATGTGCTGTACCCAAATGCATCCTAAATCTATTAGAGTGACAACTAAATTTTGATGTGATTATTTTATTCAACTTAAGTCTTAATATATTTTTAAATATAAAGTAAACCTTTTTATCTTTAATGATGTGCCGGGGGGAATAAATAAGAAAAAGTGGGAGATAAAAGTTGAGGGAAAATGATATTTTCTTTTGCCTGATGAGAAGACAAAAATTAGAGAAAAGGAAATAAAAGAAATAAAATATATGATCTATACATTTTTATCTTTAGCTTTTCTTTTTCAATATGAGGAGATTTTGAAGAAAAAAAATTAATTTTTATATTATTCATAATTTTTTTTGGTTTCTTGTTATCTCCGTTGATTTTTAACCTAATTTTCTCCCTCCATTTTAAAATTTAAATTATTACATATTTAATACTTTAAGAAATTAAAATTAGACAAAATAATTTGTTTGCTAACATTGGATAAAATAATTTATAATTATGTTTTTGTTTAATCAGCAATATATAATAAAAATTATATAAATAATATTTTAAAAATCCAATTTTATCATATATAAATATTTTTTATAGATAATAAGGTTATTACACCTATATGAAATTAATTTTTTTTATTTTCTTTCGCTCAACCAAACATAAAAATAGAAAATTATATTTCTTTACTTTTTTCTTCTCTCCGTTTTTTATTCTCTTTATTTTCTCTTATGAGCCAAGCACACAGCATAAGTGATATTTTTAACTTTGCCTCTCAAATTTGTAATTTTATATTATTAAATTCACAACTCATTTTTTATTTTAATAAGAATCACAAATTTTAATAATTAAATTTTAAAATTAACACTTTGAAGGTTAATAAAAAAAGGGAAAGCAACATATTATTATTAGAATAGTAACAAAAATTTACAATTTTGTCTCCCAAAATCATGAATTTGCAACTCACTTTTTAGTTTTAATAGGAACAAAAATATTAATTTTTAAATTTTAAAAATAACATGTCATTATTTAAACAATTTTAAAATTTACAACTTTATCTTCCAAATTTGTATTGTCATATTCTTGAACTTGCAACTCATTTTTCCAATCTCAGTGGGGAATATAAATCATAATGATTAAGTAGATTTGCATCCGATGCTTATCACCGTGTGCTCGTCAGGGCCAAGAGCAATCCTAACCCTCCATTTTCAGTCAAAATTAATTTCTATCATTCATTTAAATTAATTTTAAAATATTTTTAATATTATATTTATTAATATAAAAATATATAAAATATATAAAATTTTAGTAAATCTGTTCATTACCAATTTAGCCAATATAGACTTAATCTCTTAGTAGTTCAATTTAATAATAAAAATTTTTGTAATTTTACAAGTAAACTATCCAAATAAATTTTAGATAGTTCAGGTATAGTATAGACGACCTAATTTAATATTAAAAAATTTATAAATGTTACAAATTAACCATTTAAATATATTCTTAATAGTCCAGATTTAATATTAAAATTTTTATACCCTTTATTTTAATAAATATAACATTAAAAATGTTTAAAAATTAATTTAAAAGAATGATAGAGGTCATTTTAAGTTGAAATGGAGGGTCAGGATGAGCACTCGATGCCCAAATGCAGCATGATTAAATTTTGACAAGAAATTTGCAAATTTGGCTTCCAAATGTGCAACTTTGACCAACTAAATTTCCAACTTATTCTCCCTTTTACATTGATATAATCAAATTTTAATGATTAAATTTATGAAGGAACATGCCATTATTTGTAAACTTCCAGGATTTCCTACTTTATATCCTAATTTTACAACTTTAGTTCTAAATATTCTCTTAGATGATATTATATAAAAATACCAGTTAAGGACTTGAGGGATTTCCTTTACCTTTTAAAATTTGTTAGCAATTTACTTAAATGAAATGATCTCATTGGAATTTAAGTGTCATTCCCCATATTTTTAAAAATAAAATTATAAATATGGGGATTAATATTTAAAATATAGAGACTAATATTTTAAATGGTTAAAACTATAAGAACAAAATTTTATCGAATTAAAATTTAAAAATTAAATTACAACTAAATCAAAATCGTACGAACCAAATGAATGAATGATTAATTTTCTATAAAAAAAAATACTCCATTTAGTGTCAGTAAAAAATCCATTTATTAGTGCATGATTATACTAATAAATGATTAAATGTACCACCAGCTCTATCTATTATAATAGGTTATTGTTAACTAATTTATATTTCTAAAAAATTTTGTTAAAATCTTGATTTTTTTAAAATTTTCACATTTTCTAATCGTTTGTTAAGTATAATAAATATAAAATTTGACTTATTTCAAAATACTTTTATTAATTACTCAATAAAATAAGGATGTAATTGAAAAAAATATATATAACACATACTCAATCCCTTAATTTTAAATCAAACAAAGCTTATTAAAAATGAATTATTTTACAATCAAAGGGAGTATACATACCTTTCACTGTTTCATATCCCACTAAAGAAAACTGTTTCTTAATTCATATCCCCGGTTATTTGTAAATTTACTCTTCCTTAGTCACAATTGACCATCTTGATGTCTAATGGCAATCATTAATTATTTGCCCGTAATTGACATGGGGCCTAGAGAAAAGTGGATGACTCTGATGGGAGTTTTCTAGGAGGTTGGCTAGACAAAGTGTGTGCAGATTTTGGCTTTCTGGCAGAGGCATATGTTGTCAAAAGGGCTGTTAGGCTTGCCCAATGTTGGCCTGGTGTGGATTGCATTTTTGAAACATGCTGTTCTGAACTATTAATTAAACATTTGCGCTCTCAGATCGCTGCGTTCTTGTGCTTGGCAATTCAACACGTTGGTTCATGACTTGTTGGATATGATTGAGTCCTTTATCTTTCTCTTTTGTTTCTGGGAGAGGAAATCAACCAACAAATTGTTGGAATATTATTTATGAATTAGCATTAATTAATAAGCCCAATAAATTGGTCCTTATGATCTTGTGTGGACCGTGATAGGTGGACCACACAAGTGAGCCCAATGGGCAGAGGCCCAACCCACAACCCAGTAGCCGTCAGTTATTTCCTATCTCTTAACTGACTGAGTCAGAGATAATAGATAATATAATTATTTAATTATATTAATAAGGCGGTTACCGATCTGATCTATATAAGACGATTAGTCGGTAACCACAAAGATACGACTCATTTTCTTCTACTTCCATTATCTCTGAACTCTCTGAAGGCTCTGGGGACCTGAGGGTTGTGTACCTGCCTATACTCGAGGTAATCGAGATCTCTCTAGCACTCATGGATTCTTCAGGTACGCATACATTACTTTACTTATCTATATAAATTGAGATATTAACATACAACACGTGGCATCAGAGCCTGGTTACAAATATCAATCTATATATCTCAATTTATTATTCATTTTATGCGTATGAGCATATTCTGAAAGCCTTAATGAGAACGTGATTTTCTGAGCTAAACCCGCCACTTTCTAAACCGGTCCTCGAAGCCCCGTCGGAGTCTGGCTTCGAGTTCTGCACGTCGGTTCAAGCTACAAATCATGGCGTAATCTGGACTGGTGGGGTGAGAGAGGCGTCGCCGAAGGCGGGAACACGCGACCTTCAGATCTTCAATCTGGACTGGTGCGGTGAGCGTGGAGGAGTCACCGGAGTCTCCCTATCTCGATCTCCGGCGTTTTCTCCCCTCCTCAGGTTCACGTTGCCGTCGCTCGGCGCCCACCCCATGGCTGTTCTGGCTCGCGGCAGCAAAGGAGGCTGCAACAGGGTCATGAAGGTTGTGAGCCCAAAATTTCATTTGGGCCCAGCTCATAAAAAAAAAAGAAAAGGGAAGGGGAGGAAGAATGGGCCGTAGTTTCACTTAACAGTATTGGGCCTTACTCTCGGCCCAGTAGTACCAAAAAAAAAAATCAATTCTGTTAATTGCGTTTCGTCCCCAGTTTTAATTACCTCCTTTGGCCCAAAATTTATCGAATTTACGAATTAGCCTGATGATATTTCTGGAAATTACAGCATAGTGCCTTAACTTCTAGAATTGTAATTTTGACCCAAATCTCTTCCAGAATTACTTATTTACCCCTAATTACCTTTCAAAATTTTACTTAAGTCCTAGATTCGTTTCCTAATTCCTAAAAGACCCTAAGGACTTTTAAAAATTATGTTGTTTTGTCCTAAGGTCATAAAATTTGTGACTTTGTGAATTATTGATGATACTCAGGATCTTGTAGCATTGATAATGGACATACCCCATAGGTGTGACATTATTAATGTGATTTTGATGGTTGGTTTGAGGATAGGCTAATAGCACTCCTTTAATGTGTTAGATATTTGTTGTACCCTATAGGTATGAAAATGTTTAATGCATTATTTTGTATGGACTTTTGTGTGAGCTAAATCTTTATGGTATATGAGCCTCCTTAGTGCATGGTTATAGTTGCATAATTGATAATCGCTTGTTGGGAATTCTGTTTTATAATTATGTTGTGCACGCATAATTAATATTTCCCATTTTCTGTTTTGTGATTTCAGTTTCTGCTTTTACGCAACTATCCTTTGTGAAGGCTCTTAATGGAACTAACTATGATGACTGGAAAGAGTCTCTCAATATGTATCTGACCATTTCTGAGAAAGATTTAGCTCTGAGAGAGCCCAAGCCTGCGGATCTCTCTTCCGAGTCCAGTGCTTCTGAAATAGCCTTCCATAAACAATGGAGTGAGTCCAACCGGATTGTCTAGCGATCATCAAGTACACAATTGAAAAGGGAATTAGGGACAGCATTCCTGAAAATGATACTGCAGTGGAGTACTTGAAAGCTATTGGTAACAAATACAAAAAGCTTGACAAGACTCAAAAGAACTACTATCTGTCACTTCTTGACAATACTCGATACGACGGAGTTTCTGGTGTCAGGGAGCACATTCTGAAGCTTGTTCATTACTATAACAAGCTTAAGTCATATGGGATTGATTTGGGTGAAAGCACCTTGGTTTACCGTGTTCTTCAATCACTGCCATCAGAGTACGCATTCTTGAGGACTTCATACAACTCACAAGAAGCTGAATGGTCTGTTGACCAGATGATATCGATAGTCACTCAAGAAGAGGAAGCTATAAAGAAGAATTCCTCTCACTCCATAAACTATGTTTCCCATGGCTCTAGCAGCAAATCTGGAGGGTCACATAAGAAAAAGGGGAAGAAGCATGATGCCCCAAAGCCTAATAATCCAACCTTTAAGAAGGATGGTGATAAGAGTGAGAAATCGAGGAAGAAACCCTTTAAAGGGTTATGCAATTATTGCAAGAAACCGGGTCACATTAAAGCTAATTGCTTCAAATTGAAGAACAAACAAGAAAGTGAAGGTACAACTCTTCAAACTGCCCCTCTAGCTCTAGTTTGTTTTGAATCTAACACCATTGAAACTTCCTTTGACTCATGGTGGCTGGATTCTGGTGCCACTGTACATGTTGTGAATTCTCCACAGGGGCTAAGAAACCAGAAGGTTCCAAGTGAGGCACAGAGGTCAGTCTTTGGCATAGCAGGGAGCAAGGCATCGGTTGAATGCATTGGAACTATTTCTTTGTATTTAAATTCTGGTCATGTTTTACATTTGAACAATGTTGTTTATGTACCTTCTGCGAAGAGGAATTTAATTTCAACTTCTGCATTGGATATTTGTGGCTATTCATTCTTCCAAGGAAATGGGAAAATTGACATTTGTTTTGATTCCATTAATGTTGGTGTCGCTTCCTTGATATATGGTTTATATCGATTGAATGATTGGTCACTTGAACTTCCTAATCTTCATGTCAATGCTGCTATTGGGCATAAACGTCAAAGGCCCAATGATAATTCCTCTATGTTATGGCATCGTCGTTTGGGTCATATCTCTAGAGAGAGATTGGAACGCATGATCAAGCAAGGCGTCTTACGAGACCTTGATTTCTCAGATTTTGAGACTTGTGTTGACTGTATAAAGGGAAAATTCCCTGCTAGAGCTAGAACCAAAGGGGCAAAGAGGTCTGAAAATACTTTAGACCTAATCCATACTGATATCTGTGGACCTATCACGCCTCCGGCTATGGGTGGTTCAGATATTTCATCACCTTCACGGATGATTACTCTCGTCATGGATGGATTGAACTCTTGCGTGAAAAGGGCGAGTCCCTTAATGCATTCAAGACCTTTAAAGCAGCAGTCGAATTGAAATCTGGCAAGTTGATCAAGTGTGTGAGATCTGATAGAGGAGGAGAATTTTATGGGAGATATACTGAGACTGGTAGGAACCCTGGGCCATTTGCTTTGTACCTTCAAGAGCATGGCATTGAAGCTCAGTATACTATGCCTGGCACCCCGCAGCAAAATGGGGTTGCAGAAAGGCGAAATCGTACTCTCATGGATATGGTTAGGAGCATGATCAGTCACTCCTCACTGCCGGAATTCTTGTGGGGTGATGCACTCAAAACTGCTGTTTATATTTTGAATCAAGTTCCTAGCAAGTCAGTTCCAAAGACTCCATATGAGTTGTATTTTGGAAGGACTCCTGCGCTGAAACATATGCGAGTTTGGGGTTGTAAAGCACAGGTAAAACCTTACAATCCACAACAGATGAAGCTTGATGCTAAAACTATTGATGGTTTCTTTATTGGCTATTGCATCGGATCTCGTGGGTACAGATTCTATTGTCCAAATCACACTACTAGGGTAATTGAATCTGACCGAGCTTACTTCTTTGAAGATGCCTTAGACAGTGGGAGCTCTGTGCCTAGGCACATTACCTTGCATGACGAAAGTAGTATTTTGCCTATGCCTATCTTGACAACTCCTCATGTTGACAGAAATAATGCCGTGGATCAGAATGAAGCTCAAGATGAACCACCTTTAGAGGGTGATAGGGACATGGTTGTTGAACCGAGACGGTCCCAAAGGGTTCGCAGGTCTGCTATTCCAGATGATTACATGGTATATTTGCAGGAATTTGATTCAGATGCTATTGATAGCTTAGACCCAATGTGTTACCAGGAGGCTATTTCTAGCTCGCATTCTTCTGAATGGTTGGAGGCTATGAGTGAAGAAATTGCCTCTATGTACCGCAATCACGTATGGGAGCTTGTAGAGCTACCAAAGGGGTTTAAACCAGTGGGTTGCAAGTGGGTCTTTAAAACAAAACGAGGAGCTAGGGGTGAAATTGATAGATATAAAGCCAGACTTGTAGCTAAAGGCTACAACCAGAAAGAAGGTATTGATTACACAGAAACTTCTCTCCGGTATCCACCAAAGATGCTTTTAGAGTGGTAATGGCTTTAGTTGCACAGCTTGATCTTAATCTTCACCAGATGGATGTCAAGACTGCATTCTTGAATGGCGATTTGTATGAAGAAGTCTACATGACACAACCTGATGGTTTTGTTGAATCTGGTAAAGAACATCTAGTGTGCAGATTAAAGAGATCCATCTATGGGTTAAAACAAGCCTCTAGGCAGTGGTATCTGAAATTTGATGAAGTTATCACCTCTCTCGGTTTTGTTGAGAATGTCTCAGATCAGTGCATCTATCAGAAGTTTGATGGGAACAATTTTGCCATTCTTGTTCTCTATGTTGATGATATCTTATTAGCCAGCAATTCAATAAATTTCCTCAATGAGATAAAGCACCTATTGTCTTGCCATTTTGACATGAAGGACATGGGTGAAGCCTCCTTTGTTCTTGGGATACAAATTCATCGTGATAGATCTCGTGGTATTCTTGGTTTATCACAGGCCACTTATATTGAGCGGGTACTTAAGAGATTCAAAATGGATTCATGTTCTCCTTCACCTGCTCCTGTACAGAAAGGTGAGCTGTTGTCAAAGTCACAGTGTCCCAAGGATGATAGGAAGAGGGTTGAAATGAGAAAGATACCATACGCTTCCGCTGTCGGCAGCCTTATGTATGTTCAAGTGTGTACTCGACCAGATATAGCTTTGCCATTGGAGTGCTGGGTCGATACTTAAATGATCCAGGTCTGGATCATTGGAAGGCTGCTAAGAAAGTTATGAGGTATCTTCAAGGTACAAAGGATCATATGTTGACTTACAGAAGGTCAAATTCTCTTGAGGTTGTTGGGTATTCTGATTATGACTTTAAGGGATCAGAAGATCTTGAGATTGTTGGCTTTTCAGATTCAGATTTTGCCTCTTGTCTGGATGATCGTAGATCCACGACTGGCTATATTTTCATGTTGTCCGGAGGAGCTGTCTCTTGGAAGAGTGTGAAACAGACACTTACGGCAGTTTCATCTATGGAAGCTGAGTATATTGCTTGCTTTGAGACTACACGTCACGCTATATGGCTGAGGAAGCTGATATCTGGCATGCACCTAGTTGAGTCAATATCGCGTCCTCTAACCATTTATTGTGATAACAAATCTGCAGTATACTATACTAACAATCACAGAAATTCTAGTCGTACAAAGCATTTTGATATCAAACTTATGTTTGTGAAAGAGAAAATTGCTGAGTCTCAAACCCGTGTGGTACACATTCCTGGTACGCAGATGCTTGCAGATCCGCTGACTAAGGGCTTACCTGTAGAAGTTTTTCAAAATCATGTAACTTGTATGGGTATTATGAATTCCTTTGATGCCCTAGTTTAGTGGGAGTTTGAGAACCTTCTTTGTTGCAATTTCTCTTTAGGCTTTGTTTTCTTCTGTGAGTTATGTTCAGTTCAGTTAGATGCGTCTATATCAGTTGTATCCCTATAGGATTCAATGATTCTGTTGTGGTACGCTATGCATGTCACTTGTTTCCCCATAGGAATCAGTGATTTATGCTGTTATCTTACTGAGCTGTGTTTGAAATAAAATTTTATATTTTACTCAATTATGAGATATTATATCACTTGTTTCCCCATAGGATTCAGTGATTTTGTGGGGTTTCATTTTCTGAATTTGTTTGTGGTTTGTTTATACAACTTGCTTAATTAATGCAATTCAAGTGGGAGATTGTTGGAATATTATTTATGAATTAGCATTAATTAATAAGCCCAATAAATTGGTCCTTATGATCTTGTGTGGACCGTGATAGGTGGACCACACAAGTGAGCCCAATGGGCAGAGGCCCAACCCACAACCCAGTAGCCGTCAGTTATTTCCTATCTCTTAACTGACTGAGTCAGAGATAATAGATAATATAATTATTTAATTATATTAATAAGGCGGTTACCGATCTGATCTATATAAGACGATTAGTCGGTAACCACAAAGATACGACTCATTTTCTTCTACTTCCATTATCTCTGAACTCTCTGAAGGCTCTGGGGACCTGAGGGTTGTGTACCTGCCTATACTCGAGGTAATCGAGATCTCTCTAGCACTTATGGATTCTTCAGGTACGCATACATTACTTTACTTATCTATATAAATTGAGATATTAACATACAACACAAATCACTTAGCCGAATTAGCTTTAATGGAACCTTTGGGTTGGGTGTCCTCACCACTGCCTTTTCTTGCTCTCTTTCTGGCTCAGGACTTGAGAATGTCACAACCAAGTGAAGGTCAGATTGTGTTGGCGGATGATCGTGAAGGCATTGGCTAATTAATTTGCTGCTACATGTTCCTTTAGTTTTTCAGTCTGTTGTTTATTTTCTATCAGTGTTGTTTTTTGGGTTGCAGCACTTGTTGTTTAAGTTCCATGTACTGATGTTTTTTTTTTTTGAAGGCTTGATCTCTTTTTGTTGAATGAAATTTCCTTGTTGGCCAAAAAGAAAAAGGTAAAAAATATTTAACTAGTCTTACATTTTCCATTAAGCACAACCCTTTCTCTTTCTTCAACTAGGAAGATTGCTCAATGTGAACGAAGTCAGTTAGGGGTAATTATTCTGTTAATAAAGGATAGCATCTCATCTCACAAGGCCCATCAATTGCTAATGCACCTTCACTTGACATCAATTGTAAGTTCTTATGAAAAATTGAACTGCCTTATCGTGCACTGCCATGTACTTGGAAGGTACTAAATGAAGCTATTCCAACTCCAGATATTTTGCAGAAGCATCATCTGCCAGTTTCTGCAATTTGTCCACTTTGTAATAATCATAGCGAGTCTTTGAATCTTATCTCTTTTGTGACTTTGCAAGAGCAATTTGTTATGTATCATCTTGTTTCTTCAGATTAGGTGATATGGAGAATGCTAGCAATTTCATCCCTTTTTGGATCAAGTTGGCACAGTCAATTCCATCTAATATGTATATCCTTAAGGAGGTGCTCTTGACAATACAAATAATTTGGGAGTTTGGGAATTTAGCCAAGCATCAACAGAAAGAAGTTCATCCTTCTCAGGTAACCCAAAAAGTCAAATGGCTCTTTTTATGACTTTTGATAGTTGCCGCTAATTCTAAAGCACCTGTTTTGCATTGTGCATCTGAAAGTATGAAGTTTAAATCTTGCAAAGCAAGAGCTAGAAGGGGATGGTTTCTTTTTTTGATCCACTGCAATATTCCTTTTAAATCAGGATTGAAGTTAAAAGAGATGACAATTCTTTTTTCAAGGATTATAGCTTCAGTAATGCAAGAACATATGAGCAAAATCATTGCACTACTACTGATCCTCTAGTCTTTTTCATGAAAGAACTGAGATCAGCTATTAAATGGATTACTGATTTTGAGGACTTTGGGCAATCAAGTTTCTCAAATATTACCTTAGTATCCAAAAATCCTAAGAATATCAGCAATCTCTTGGGTAGTGCTACTTCAAGTCCAAAAACGCAGATGCCATGGAATAACATCAATCATCTACTTTTATGTTTTTGTTATCAATGGTTTGAATGGAAGCTGGTTGATTTGGTGGAAGTCTTTAGTTAGTGAAAATTTTA